ATTAAGTTTGAGTTGTTTAATAGATATCCCTTTGAGGTTATCAATAGCCAGCTGGATAGACGAGTCTGAAGCTGAGGAGAATCCATGGCTTTAAATATCATTTATAAAAGAGGAATGTGAGAGAATGAAGAGTAAAATTGAGACTAGCAACTGGATAGAAGTAGTAAAAATCCCACATACTCCTACTGGGTGGGAGGAAAGGTATCTTAAGATATCCTGCACTTTTAGTAATAAGAAAAAACATAAGAACAAGAATATTTTCAGAAAAAACTAGAGGTAAATTTTAGAAGAATTAAAGCTTACTTTGTATGTTATAAATTCTAGAGAAGAAGAAAAGCAAAGGAAATATAATTTATATAATTAAAACATGAAATGAAGCAAAGAGCAAAAACATTAAAATACTTTAAAAAGGAAATAAAAATCAAGATGAACGATCATATTGAACATGTAAATTATCAATTATCACTTAATTGAAGCAGATTAAAATATGAAGACTCAGGAACTTTTTTTAAACTTTATTCTGCTTATAAAAATTCATTAAGAATAAAGTAACATACAGCAGTTAAAAATAGAAATGAAATGGCAACTATTCAAGCAAAAAAAATGTTGACAATGTTAATTTCAATAATATTCTGGAATTCAAGAAAAATTGGCAAAAGAGAATAATTTTATAAGAAAAGAAGATTATTTTATAAAGATAAAGGGTAGAATCCACAATGAAGATAGAAAAACCAACAATTCATTTATCAAATATGCATACAGCAACTCATATAAAACAAACATTTCAGAAATCAACACAGGATTATTATATGAGATTTTAATCTACTTCTGTCAGTGTATTCTGAACCAAATGGAGAAATAACAAAGCTTTGGAGTATATCAGTGATATGTACTCCAAGTATAATGAGCAGATCCGTATCAAACTATTCTCCTTGTGTTTAAGAAAGTATTATATACCAGGCTGAGAAAAGAGAAAGTCGCTAATATTCACTAAGCCCCAGCTATATGCCAGCAACTCTGTTGGACATTTCATGTTCATTAATTCTTTTAAATTTTTAACCTTCATATAACTATGTGAGGTTGGTGTTACTATTCCCATTGTACACAAAAAGACCACAAGAACACTAGTGCAAATTATGTAGTTAGTAAGTGGCAGAATCCAGGTTCGACTCCAGATCAGCTTGGTCTAAGGTCTGAGCTTGTTGCATAATTTCCTGTGGCATGAGAGAGGCTAATACTTAGGGGTTACTATTCCCATTGTACACAAAAGACCACAAGAACACTAGTCCAAATTATGTATCTAGTAAGTGGCAGAATCCAGGTTTGACTCCAGATCTGCCTGGTCTAAGGTCTGAGCTTATTGTATAAAATCCCTGTGGCATTAACTTCACTCTTCCTCTTGTGCATGAAAGAGGTAAATACTTAGGGGCTTTGGAGATAAAATCCACCCCCCCATCCCCACCTTCACCCCAGTGTGTCCTGACCAGCAGTTTCCCAGTCATCTGTGGGGGTACAGAAGGGTTCTCCACAGATACTGCTCATGTTTCTTTCTTTCTTTCTTTTTTAATTTTATTTTTTCAGTGTTCCAAGAGTCATTGTTTATGTACCACACCCAGTGCTCCATGCAGTACATGCCCTCCTTAATACCCACCACCAGGCTCACCCAACCCCTCACCCCCCTCCCCTCCAAAACCCTGTGTGTTTCTCTGAGTCCACAGTCTCTCACGGTTCGTCTCCCCCTCCGATTTCCCCCAATTCACTTTTCCTTTCCTTCTCCTAATGTCCTCCATGTTATTCCTTATGCTCCACAAGTATCTCACACCATACACAAAGATAAACTTGAAATGGATAAGAGACCTCAATGTGAGGCAGGACTCTATTAGAATCCTAGAGGATAACATAGGCAGTAACCTCTTCGACATCAGCCACAGCAACTTCTTTCAAGACGTCTCCAAAGGCAAAGGAAACAAAAGTGAAAATGAACTTTTGGGATTTCATCAAGATAAAAAGCTTCTGCATAGCAAAGGAAACAGTCAACAAAGCAAAGAGGCAACCCACGGAATGGGAGAAGATATTTGCAAATGACAGGACAAAGGGCTGATATCCAGGATCTATAAAGAATTCCTCAAAGTCAACACTCAAAAAACAGATAATCAAGTCAAAAAAATGGGCAGAAGACATGAACAGACACTTCTCCAGAGACGACATACAAATGGCTAACAGACATATGAAAAAATATTCTCATCATTAGCCATCAGGGAGATTCAAATCAAAACCACTTTGAGATACCACCTTACACCAGTTAGAATGGCCAAAATTAACAAGACAGTGAACTCCTCATGTTTCTTGTTAGTGGGAAAGCCCCATCATTCAGTTGCTCAGTCAAGTGTTCTTTGCCTAATCCTCATGTATTTATTTGGTTGTCTCCTGTCCGTTTTCTCATTTCGCACGAGGCAGGTCAGGCAGTCTGGTGTGTGGACTCTCCTCTAACTGGCTCCAAGATGAGATGACTAAATTCACCTCCATCGCTGAGACAACATACAACCTTTGTTCTTTAATTACTCCTACTTGCTTTCACCACATACGGTGATTCATTTGCTTAAAACCACGGCAATAGTTGCTGCCATAACAAATGCCTTCCTGAGAGTAGATTAATGTTCCCTTTTGTTTCCAGCTTATCTCCAGCCTGTCTACAGTAATATACTCAACCCAAACAAGCATATTTTTCACTCACAGCCTGCCTTTTATGAGTCCCACTGACAGTTTCTTAATAAATAATGCATTTCTAAATGTTCCTAAGCTTTTCTCCTTATTAATAATTCCAGTAGCTTTCCCTTGGCTGAAAGGTTTTATTTGGTCACTGGCTAGATTTTATTCTTGCCTGTTTCTCTACATTTTGCTCTCTCAGACTACTCCCTGGACAAAGAGGAGGTTACAACAGTTCCCCATTCATAGCAGATGTTTGATAATTATGAGTTAGTACATACTAAACATTCAGATCTCTAGCATAGACTTTCTTGGGTTTTGTTTGTTTGTTTTCATAGCTCTGGCTCTTTTGTCACGGGAACAAAAGAAAATCAGTATGTTCCATTGAGAGAAGCATCAGTTCTGGTTCTCAGGAGGCAAATTGGCATCACGTTTGCAAAATGCCTTCTCAGGTCAAATTACCACGTTTAGACATGAGAACTTTATGTTTGATGTTTGCACAAAACTGTATTTTGTCGATAATGATGAGAAATTGTAAGTAATGCCAGAACATATGCTTTTGTCACCAAAAGAACATTGGCTTGATTAACTCAGAAAAACACCAGCAAATTCAAAGGAAACAAACAGATCCACACAATTACTTTTCCACAATGTGTTCCTCTGTTCTTTTGATAACACTAATTTGGAATGTCTTCTCTGTTTTACTACAAGAAGCATTTTTCTAGATACCCCATTTTCATGGCCCCCTGTTCTGAAATCACTTGACTGTATACTACTCAGTGTATGAATTCAGTGTGTGTTCTCTTGTCGGATTCTCTTACCATTTCATTGTTAGGATTTCTTCCAAGTATACATACTGTAAACTCCAGGAGTATAAGGCTTTGGCTTAGTCACATAGCATTTACCATGTCATTTAGTAGAAGAAGGACACTCAATATATATGCCCTGGTTAACTGATTTGTTTACATCTATTTATGTTATATCTTTTGTATGTTTTGCATCTTTTTTTATGTACTTGTCAAGAATTTTCTGCTTTGATGGAAATTCCACAAGACAGTAATTATGTTTTCAGGTTCTTTTGTATCTTTTCTGACAGCCAGATTGTTCTATATATAGTAGGTGTTCATAAATGATGCTGTACAATAAAAAAAAAAAAAGAGGGGAATTCCACCCTGATAAGGAAGTTGTTGAAGTAAATTCTTCTTTATTAAACAGATCTTCACTGACTATGATACAACATATAATTTGTATCATGAGATTCCTTATGCTGTTGTAAAACCAGGCTAGCATCTAAATTGACTGCATGTGCTCAGCTTATAAAAGGGAAAAGTGTGTTGCAAAAATAATAATAATAACTAAACTCATTTGAATTGTAGGAAGACTTGAAAAAGAAATTCCAATAATTCTATTTCTGATAATTTATGATACATATAAACTTGCAAAAGCATTTCACCTTTGGAAGGCAGATGCTACCATTTCCCCAACTAACTGTATCTTCCTCTCAGTGCACACTGGTCAGCTTCTACCTGCTGGCAAAGGGATTTCTTGAATACTTTTTGAGAAACCCCAGCCTTGCATCCTTTTGGTGGAATAATTCTACCAAATTATTTGGTGGAATAACCACAGAGGTGTGGGTGCTCTGCTAGCACCTAAATTTACCCTGTTGGCTGAACCTCCAGCCTCCTGTACTGGTAGTTGGCTCGAAAATTTACCATTTACTGCTTCTCTTGCCTTTAGTATGCTTCCCTTTCTTATTTCAATTCCCCCCTCCATACCAGCATTTCCTTCATTGTCTGAGTAAGATACTTACATTTGATTTTTTTGAATCTATGTCTATTTTGGGGGAAATTCAGATTAGGACACATACACTACTTATTTCAACAGAAATTCCTCCTTGACAAATACAGAGTTCATGAGGAGGTCTTAATTTCTTTGTTTTGTTTTTTACTTTCTCTTGAGAAATAGGAATAAGCGTTCTCATGAAGAGGGTCTGCTGAGCAAGCCCTACCTGTGTTCTCCTTGAGATGTATATCCTCTTACTCGCTAGACTGCTAAAGTCAAATAAAGACTTTGGCAATGAGCTTGGACTTGGAAAGAAGCACTCACCTTTGTAGTCCAGGGAGAATTTCAGTTTTTACATTTATCTTTGGGAAACTAAGGGGATGGGAGCAAAATGAGGCACAGATAATGCGGGCATAATATCACTGAAACAAAACTGTAAGCCTAAGTAAGATGTCTGAAACCCAAATCTCTTCTAATCCTCCAAATGGCCTTCATTTCCATTTCAGGGCTGATCCTGGTACAGTTTCTGCAAAAAGTTGGCCCATGAGATTGGAGTTGGGATGTGAGGCACTGGCTCAGTGAAATAAAGAGATGGTGTGAGTACTGTGGAGCGGATTTTCTCTCAGATCTAGGTCTAGATGATAGAGATCCCAGAGCTTGGTTTACCAGTTGCTGGTTTATAATTAGAGTATTGAATATGCTGCACAGTCACTAAGAGTGTGAAGTTAGCATGGTACATGTTATGTAAGATATAAATCTCAGAGATTGTTACATCTTTTATTTTGGGGTCCAGTGATCTTAAGTATGATATTCTGTGTATGTTCTATATATGATTATTATTTATATGTCTACTATATATTTAATATGTATACACTTTTATTTGTATATTTATCTCATATACATTTTATATATGACATTGTGTGGCACACATCTACGTGTGTATACATACTCCCATGAGCCTTCTTAAAGTCTGCTACTCTCTTCCCCAACCTTCTCTCCTAATTCTCAGCCCTCAAATGAGCACTTTCTCTACCACGCCTTCCTTAACACATATACCACTTCAGCCTCTGCAGCTTTGTTCCTGGTGTGCCTTTTACCCCACGCTCTCCTTTTCAGTCTGTTAAAAATTACCCGCCCTGCAATGCCTGAGGTCAAATGATATCAGATTTCTGAACCCAACAAAAGCTTCCTCTATCACTTCCAGTTCTTCCTCTACATTAAATATCAAAACCACTCCCTGGTAACGCTTATGAAGAAATTAGCTGTTCATGGGTACTGTCAAGTCCTTCCCAACTTGATCATAAGCAACATGAGAGTTTTACTTATTTTTATCCTCCTGATATCTAACATTTCCTGGGTTACTTAATTTCTCAACATTTTATTCAGATAAAATATCCTCTACATTAAATCATCAGCTGGACCCTTGGTAATACTCACCATTTTTCCTTTTTCTGAACAGTCTCCTGAACAATGGTTTCAAAATATTTTCTATCTCTACAAACTTTCTAAGTGTGTGTCTTCTTCGTGGTTTTAGAGGATGAGGTGCTCCTTTTCCTGCTCAATGGTGACCTTTCTCTTTGTGCCTTTTGTGTCATGATTGATTCTCCCATTTCTTCAACCTCTCTGTCTGTATTGACTTCCTGCTCAAAACTTGCACAACCTCTAATCTCTCATTCCATTCCCATCACATTCATTTCCTGCCTCTCTTCCTGTTCTAACACGACTGGAATCTATTGTTAATCCTATTTCTGGACATGTTCTCAGAGGTTCTCTTCAAGGACACTAGTTGTCACATATAGGAGATATTTTACATTCTTATATTACTGAATCTCTCTCTACATTGCTTTTTCTCATCATTGTTAACCTCAGTTTTCTTTTATTCATACCACTATTGTATAATTGTTGTATCTCTTTTTCTGATGATCTTTTGTTTTTCAGTGTGTGGCCCTTCTTCTCCTCGTGTACTCCCCCCTTGCTTGATCTCCTGTCTCTGTATAGTATCAATTAATATTCATATGTTGCATCCCATTCAGCATCTCTACTACAGAGCTCTACTTTAAGATTCATTTTCACATATTTGATTGCATACTAGGTACATTCAGCAAGTATCTCAAACCTGAGTCCAAAATTCACTTGCTATTCTTTCTTTACCTAATTTTCCTTTTTGTCAATCACCACATGCCCCAGTTCTCTTCCCAAATCTCTCTAGTCCACCTTTTTTTTTTCTATCCCTATTACATAGTTTCACCTGCTATATAATTCCATTTCTCATGTGGACTGTTGTAGGAGCCTTTCAAATTGGCTACTGATGTATAGGGCTGGTTCCTCAAACCCAGTCCTCACTCTGTCACTAAAACAATCTTTCTAAAGCATAAATCCCACCATATTGTTCTGCTGAAAATCATTCAGTTGATCTCTTTTATAATAAAGTATAGCTTACTTAATGCAGCGTGTAATGTTGCTCATGGTTTGCTGCCAGCCCATTTCTATAGACTTATTTTTCTCTAATAGTTGTCCTGAACTTTCATCTTAGCAAAATAGAACTTCTTGTACTGCTCTCCTTAGTTAGCTGGTTACCTTTACTCTGTGCCTTTGCCTATTTTTCTGCTTCGTTGTGAGGAACATCACCTCTCTTATGCCAATTGAGTATACTCAGTCTTAAGACTTAATGCCAGGTGTATAAATAGACCATTCCATTGGAAGGACTTGTTACCTACAGGAGTTTAGTATATAATCATGGTTACAAATGAAATCCATATATAAAAGATGGATTATGTAATAAATAGTATTGAGACAGAAGAGTTGCCATTAAAATAAAATGGTTTCCTATGTCTTAAATCAAAATGAAATCTTGTTGTATACATTATTTGATTATCAAAGCAATTTAAAAAGAATATAAATTATAAAAAGAATAAAAGTAAAAAGTATAAAGAGAATAAAAGTAGAAATGGTAGATAAAACTTCTTTAATAATATTAAGAATGGAGGCAGCCTTTCCCATCACAATATTCAACCAGCAATCCATATAGAAATAAAACCAACCAATAAGCAAATCTTTGATGTATCTGATGACATAAAGAGAATAATGCTTGTATGGCAACACATACAGAAACACACACGACCTTTCCATATGTTCCAAAACAAAGACAAAATACAAATATCAAAGTATTTGCGACTCACATGACGTATCAGTGGCTATTTACTCAAAATTTTCTGAGTTCTGTGAATTAACCTGACAGAATGAGGAACAAGGGCAGTGAATAGACAGATCATAGAAAATACTAATAATTTTTAAGTAAAGATATTTGCCTTCATTCATAATAAGAGAAATGTACTTAAAATATTCTGTAGCACCATTTTTTCACTTTTCTGAAAGGCAAAGATAAAAAGTTTAATAAGATATGGAAGATTGTAAGTTAGTAGGAAATCTTGGTGTTTTTGCTTGGTAATTTAGAAATATATTTCAAGAATAAAAAATGCAAAACCCCTTTGACCCAGCAGTTTTCTTTCCCCCCTAAGGATTTTTTTTTTTTAAAGATTTTATTTATTTATTTGACAGACAGATCACAAGTAGGCAGAGAGGCAGGCAGAGAGAGAGGAGGAAGCAGGCTCCCCACTGAGCAGGGAGCCCAATGCGAGGCTCGATCCCAGGATCCTGGGATCATGACCTGAGCTGAAGGCAGAGGCTTTAACCCACTGAGCCACCCAGGTGCGCCCCCCCCTCCAAGGATTTATTTTAAAGATGCAGTTACTCAAATGTGTGAAATGGCTGATAAACACAGAACGTTCACTGTAGCATGGTAGCACTTCAGCAAAGGGTTGGACAGTAACCTAACTGCCTGTCCATAGGGGCTACTTGAATACATTATAGCACATTCATACAAAGGAATTTTATGTAGCCTTTATGAAATGAGTCTACTTTATATTCTAACATGAGAAAAAGTTCTGAGATACATTATTAACAGAAAAAAGATAGAGAACAGTAAGTGGGTCTGAGCTGTTCAGTATGGTAGTCACTTGAAATGTAGATAGTGTAGCTGAAGAAATAAATTTTTTTAAATTTTAATTAAAATTTAAATCTGATACTTTGTTTATTGAAAGAAAAATTTAAGTTTGTTGGGTATAATTTGGTTATGGGAATGTACTTTTTAACCTGTTAATCTTATAAAGTCTAAATGCAAAGCAAGTATTTCAGATGAAAATTCACTCTCCGGGATCTATTATAAGTATAAAATACATACTAGGTTTTGAAGACTTGGTACGAAAAACAAAAAAAAATTCAGTAATTTAAAAAATATATTACACATTGAAATAGTTTTGAGTATGCAGGGTTAAATAAAATATTAAAATCAACTTCACTTGTTTCTTTTTACCTTTTTACCATGGCATCTATAAAATTTAGGATTATATATGTGTCTAGAAATTATATTTTTTGGACAATGCTGCTATCCATTATGCTTTCATTCATAGTATAAAAATATTATATATATATATTTTTTTTGACATTTTATTTTTTTACATTTTTTTATTAGCATATAATATATTATTAGCCCCAAGGGTACAGGTCTGTGAATCGCCAGGTTTACACACTTCACAACACTCACCATAGCACATAAAATATTATATATTTTTAAATGCATAGAGTATTTCTGGAAGGACATGCAGAAAATCTGGGAGGGAAACTGGGAGGCTCTAAATAAAAAAATAAGAGGGAGTCTTAACCTTTCCTCTCTTCTCATTTGTACGTTTTGATTTTGTTTTCCATGGACTAAGAATTTACTTACAATGAAAATAAACATAAATTTTAAAACATAAGGATCAATGCTTGTGAAGGCTTCTAAGGCTCTTTCCCTGTGTACCCTTCCCCAAACAATGTGAGGTACCCTTATTCCTTCTATAATTCTCACTTATCACTAACATATACTTACTGAATTGTTTTATAATTGTCCATTCGCACCTTTATGTCACACATACTCTGAGCTCTGTCATTACCTAATTTAACACTAGATGTAATTCTTAATAAGAAATAATTTCTTAATAAAGAAAATATTTCTTATTTCTCATCACTGCTAACCTTAACTCTAATATTCTATGCTGTGAAACTAAAGAAGAAAGAAGGCAGAATTTTAAAAATGAGAGGAAAAGATAAATTAGAAGGGAAGGAAAAACAAGTGATGCAGATATGAGGGGATTTCCTTTTCTCATCCTACTTATATTGTGGTCAAGTCACACCACTGTGTTGTCCCATTATTGACCTTACTTAATATAAAAAAGAGTGAGGTGGTGGGTACGCTGATCCACTCTGCTCTCCTGGGCTCTAGGGGACCATGGGAGATCTGTAAGAAAAGCTAGAGAAGGACCAATCCACTCACCTCCCAGTCAGCTACTTCACTTGTTCCCTTGCCTAGGACTTCTACACATTGATCTTAGCTCTGCCACTTGTAACCAGGAAGAACAGTGCAATTTCCCTTTCAGAGGGTGACCTGTTGGACCCTGAGAAAATTACTTTAGTTGGACCCAAGAGTTTGATGGGCTTACTGAAAATTTTATCCTCTCTTTACTGCCTACCAGGAAACAAAGGATCTTGTATTTAACTT